CATTCACTATATCCGCTCTCCCCGGACCCTGCATTCACTATATCCGCTCTCCCCGGACCCCGCATTCACTATATCCGGTCACCCCCGGACCCTGCATTCACTATATCCGGTCACCCCCGGACCCCGCATTCACTATATCCGGTCTCCCCGGACCCCGCATTCACTATATCTGGTCTCCCCGGACCCTGCATTCACTATATCGGCTCTCCCCGGACCCTGCATTCACTATATCCGCTCTCCCGGACCCTGCATTCACTATATCCGCTCTCCCCGGACCCTGCATTCACTATATCCGCTCTCCCCGGACCCCGCATTCACTATATCTGGTCTCCCCGGACCCCGCATTCACTATATCCGCTCTCCCCAGACCCCGCATTCACTATATCCGCTCTCCCCGGACCCCGCATTCACTATATCCGCTCTCCCCGGACCCCGCATCCAATATATCTGGTCTCCCCGGACCCTGCATTCACTATATCCGGTCTCCCCGGACCCTGCATTCACTATATCCGGTCACCCCCGGACCCCGCATTCACTATATCCGGTCTCCCCGGACCCCGCATTCACTATATCTGGTCTCCCCAGACCCTGTATTCACTATATCTGGTCTCCCCGGACCCTGCATTCACTATATCCGCTCTCCCCGGACCCTGCATTCACTATATCCGCTCTCCCCGGACCCTGCATTCACTATATCTGGTCTCCCCGGACCCTGCATTCACTATATCTGGTCTCCCCGGACCCTGCATTCACTATATCTGGTCTCCCCGGACCCCGCATTCACTATATCCGCTCTCCCCAGACCCTGCATTCACTATATCCGGTCTCCCCGGACCCTGCATTCACTATATCTGCTCTCCCCGGACTCTGCATTCACTATATCCGGTCTCCCCGGACCCTGCATTCACTATATCCGCTCTCCCCGGACCCTGCATTCACTATATCCGCTCTCCCTGGACCCTGCATTCACTATATCCGCTCTCCCTGGACCCTGCATTCACTATATCCGCTCTCCCCAGACCCCGCATTCACTATATCCGCTCTCCCCGGACCCCGCATCCAATATATCTGGTCTCCCCGGACCCTGCATTCACTATATCTGGTCTCCCCGGACCCTGCATTCACTATATCTGGTCTCCCACAGTACACACAACATGGAAATGCAATTATTTTAGTAAATATAAACTGCTAAATACCTTTTTGCGTCAGCAGTATATAGCAGTCTTGTGACTTCTATCAGTGTCCAGCAGAGCACTGGTTAATCTTGTAGGAGGAGTTCTCCTCTGACAGTCCTGTGAGGCTGCATGACCCCTGACCCTTTGTATGGACAGTGCTGATTGGCCCTGTGCTGATCACATTCACCCTCCCAGAAAAAAAAAAAAAAGACAAAACTCGCTAGCCATACACACTAAACTGAGCATGTTCAGAGTGACTCCTAGAGCTCTGTACTATCAGCAGAAGGATTGGAAAAAGTAGAAGGGGAGGATCAGAGAAGACAGGATCAAACAGCCTTTTTACACAATGCAGAGGAGTAACCCCTTAGGTCCCACAGTGAGTATAACACGCATGCTTTACTGCATCTACAGCCTGATTGTACTGTTGTGGGTTTAGGGACACTGTAAATGCCTGGCCCTGTTTCGTATATGCAGACCAGGATAGGCACAGCCAATTCCTACTCTGCCTTCTTGTAGTGGGTCAGCATTAAAGCAAGTGGATCAGAATGACAGCCAGGAAGCTAGCATTTCTAAGAAGTCATCACAGGCACCACCCATTGAATTGTTTCCTTTAAATGGACTCACCTGTGTGATAAGACCCTGATAGAAGCAGACAGTTTCCAAATTGTGCCTGGAGATATCATTACACCTACCGCCAGTAGTGCCGCTTTAAAGTGAACCTGTCATGACAGAAATATATGGACTGCATTGCTAACCTCCTTCCTGCTCCCCGGGCAGTCTCTGGTGTTTATGCTCTCTAGCTCACTGACCCAAAGCAAGCATGCAGCTAGTGAAGTCAGAACCACTGTTCCGGGTCAGTTGCTCAGAAACAGCTGAAGCTTTAAGATCAACATAGCAGCTAGGCAATGAGTATTTTTTTAAAAAAAAAACAAGCATGCAGCTAGTGAAGTCAGAGCCACTGTACTGGGTCAGGGTCTCAGGAACCATTTAAGTTTTAGGATGAACATAACAGCCAGGCAATGAGTATTTTGAAAAGCAGAGCTCAGCGATGGCAGTCTACTGTCTTTATCAGGACTGGTTTCTTTAAACCGGAACTCCAGGTACAAAATAACAAGCTCAAAAGGATAAAAATAATAATAAGTTCCCATTCAATCCAGAAATTTCCCCCGCAGTACTTCTTTCTACCGCTAGATGTCCTCAATCCAGGTTGTCATGGACCTGCCCCCAGATGTGACTTGACAGTGAAGGGAGAAGCAGCACAGTGATGAGCTTATCTCTGTCACTCTGTTCTCTCCTCCTATCAGCATGCCCCTGGTCAGCACATGAACTGATTGGCTGCAATATTCCAGAGATTTCTCCCTGAAGTTCTCTTTTTCTGCCACTAAATGTCCTCAGCCTGATGGCCAGGTGATCCCGGATAAGCCTCCAACCCTAGATCAGCGACTGAAAGGAGAAGCAGCACATTGATGAGCTCCTCTGTCACTCTGTTCTCTCCTCCTATTAGCATGCCCCTTGTCCGCACATGAACTGATTGGCCGCAATATTCTAGAGATTTATCCCTGCAGTTCTCTTTTACTGCCACTAGATGTCCTCAGTCTGATGGGCAGGTCATCCCTGATAAGCCTCCAACCTAGATCAGGCATTGAAAGGAGAAGCAGCACATTGATGAGCTCCTCTGTCACTCTGTTCTCTCCTCCTATCAGCATGCCCCTTGTCAACACATGAACTGACTGGCCGCAATATTCCAGAGGTTTCTCCCTGCAGTTCTCTTTTTCTGCCACTAGAAGTCCTCAGTCTGGTGGCCAGGTGATCCCGGATAAGCCTCCAACCCTAAATCAGCCATTGAAAGGAGAAGCAGCACATTGATGAGCTCCTCTGTCACTCTGTTCTCTCCTTCTATCAGCATGCCCCTTGTCAGCACATGAACTGATTGGCCGCAATATTCCAGAGATTTCTCTCTGCAGTTTTTTTTCTTCCACTAGATGTCCTCAGTGTGATGGCCAGATCATCCCTGATAAGCCTACAACCCCAGATCAGCCATTGAAAGGAGAAGCAGCACATTGATGAGCTCCTCTGTCACTCTGCTTTCTCCTCCTATCAGCATGCTCCATATCAGCACTGATTGGCTCCTTGTGCTGCTTCCTCATCTCACACTCCAGCCCTGCTGTATAGGGACTTCAGGAGGCTGATACCAGGTCACCTTCAAGTCCTTACTCGGCTTTTCTTTATAAAATAAACGTAATGATGTATTAATGAGTCATTTGTGTCATTTCTCTCCACCCGGAGTTCAGCATGAAGTGATCTATGTGAGAGGGGATGTTCCAATCTGCAGATAAGGGGGAGGCGGTGGGTTAGGCTGATGTAATTGGTGCATTCCATGCAATGTCTATCATCCCGGTTCTGATAGGCCCCCCCCTCGCTGACTTCCAGATGTTCCACTAGAGCAGCTGCCTGACTCACACTTGGCCCTGTTCCTGAAAGCAGTTAGGTAACTCTCTGGATTTGTAAACTTTCTGCTGAAACTAATTAAAGGTCTGCGGAGTGCATGGAAAACACATCTCATTTAAACAGGAATCATCTGGATCAAGCCCCCTCTGATATGGATTAGAGGGGGTCCCCTATCTGTACAATGACAGAATGCACTTCCCCAATACGACCATCAGATGGCAGCATCTTATCAGAACAAGCACCAGTGTCCTGCTTGGCCATGAACACATCAGGGGCTCCATGATGACAATATCCCTTTAACCCCTCGCCCTCCAGAGGATTTACCCCCCTTCCTGACCGGGCCATTTTTTGCGTTATGGCGCTGCGTTACTTTAACTGACAATTGCACGGTCATGCAACGCTGCACCCAAAGGAAATTTTCTTCCTTTTTTTTTCCCCCACGAAATGAGCTGTCTTTCGGTGGTGTTTGATCACTTGTGCGGTTTTCATTTTTTGCGCTATAACCGACAATTTTGAGAAAAAGACTTTTTGCTATAAAACATGTCCAGTAAAAAAAATTTTAAAAATCTAAATTTTGGCAAAAATTTAGGCCAAAATGTATTCTGTGACATGTCTTTGCTAAAAAAAAAAATCCCAACACGTGTAAATGAATTGGTTTACGTGAAAGTTATAGCGTGTACAAATGGCGGTATAGATAATGGTAATTTTTTTTTTCTACTAGTAATGGCAGCGATCAGTGACTTTTAGCGGAACTGCAGGATTCTGACACTGAGAGGGGGGGGGGGGGGAACTAACTTGGCATCACTGACACCCCAGTGACACCAATATAGTCATCAGTGCTAAAAAAAAAAGCACTGACACTGTACTAACGGCACTGGGCAGGAAGGGGTTAATGTGAGGGGCGATCAAAGGGTTAACTGTGTGCTGGAAGTGTTTTACTAGGGGGCGAGGGGTGTGTGCTTCACTGTAGGCACACTGATCGGGATGGCTGTGCAGTGTGCCCGAGTTGACAAGGAGAAAGATTGTTTATAAACAAAACAACCTTCCTCCCCATCGGAGATGCTCAGTATTTACCGGTCAGGACCTGGTGATTGACATTTGCGGCCACAAATGGTGACGCGGGAAGGGCGCACGCACGGCTAGTGCGTGCCCCCTACTCGGAAATGCAAAATAATGTGTATATATACACGTGCCTCTGCCCACAGGTGCCGCCCTGTAGCAGTATATCTGCTATAGGGCGGTCCTTAACTACTTGCCAACTGCAGATAGCCGAATGACGGCTACACTGCGGCCAGCCAGTTCTGGGAGGGCGTCATATGAATGCGCTCTCCTGTGCGCCCCCAAGGGGCGCGCATCCGGCGATCTCCGTGATCACTGTGTCCACAGACACAGATCATGTGATGTGGTAAAAGGCCAATCACAGCGGCCTTTTACCACGTGATCAGCCGTGTCCAATGACACGCTGATCACCGGGAAATGCAATTGCCAGTTCTCGGCTGCACTTTCCTCACACTGTCAGAGCATGAGGAAAGTACTGCCGAGAACCGGCAGTTGTCAGAGCGGGGATCGGCACCGATCATCAGGGCACCGATGATCGGTGCCCAGCAGTGCCACCCACCAGTTCCACCCACCTGTGCCCAGCAGTGCAACCACCTGTGCCACCCTGCAGTGCCACCTACCTGTGCCCATCAGTGCCACCCACCTGTGCCCATCAGTGCCACCCACCTGTGCCCACTCACCTGTGCCCATCAGTGCAGCCCAGCAGTGCTGCCAGTCACTGCCCAGCAGTTGCGCCAGTCAATGCCCAGCAGTGATCCCAGTCAGTGCCACCTATAAGTGCTGTCTATCAGTGCCGCCTATCCGTGCAACCTCATTAGTGCTGCCTATCAGTGCCCATCAGTGCCGCCTATCAGTGCCGCCTATTAGTGCCCATCAGTGCCGCCTATTAGTGCCCATCAGTGCCGCCTATTAGTGCCCATCAGTGCCGCCTATTAGTGCCCATCAGTGCCGCCTATTAGTGCCCATCAGTGCCGCCTCATCAACGCACATCAGTGAAGGAGACAAATTACCTGTTTGAAAAATTTTATAATAGAAACAAAAACTTTTTTTTTTCAAATTTTTTGCACTTTTTTATATCGCAAAAAGTAAAGTGCTCAGCAGCGATTAAATACCACTCTATTTGTGAGAAAAAAAATCATAAAAATTTCATATGGGTACAATCTTGCATGACCACGCAATTGTCAAAGTGCGACAGCGCTGAAAGCTGAAAATTGGCCTGGTAAAGAAGGGGGTATCAGTGCCCGGTAGGCAAGGGGTTAAGTGGTTAATATTTATTCCATTTATTGAGCATCAGCAGTTTACATACCGTACATTCACATCAGTGCCTGCCCTCGAGGAGCTTACAATCTAAGTGCTCGGTCATACCGCTGCGATTTGTGAACTGAAATCATACCTGAAATGGCATCTAATGAGTGTGAATTTTGGTGTCTTAACACGTGCGATTTTCTGCGGCGCGATTTCATAAGTAGTTCTAGCATGACTTTTTCTGCGGTTTATTGCGATCTCACATACATAGAATATCATGGAAATCGCAATTCAAATCGTAAGAAATAGCTGAAAATCTTTAAAGTCGCAATAAAGTCTTCAGAAATCGCAACTGAAATCACGCTGAAATTTCACACAAATCGCGCAATTTTAAATAACAGGTGACTCCCTATCTCAGACACATACGAAGGTCATTTTAGATAGACAACTAATCTACCAGCATGTCTCTGGTGTGTGGGACCAGAGTCCCTGAACCGGATGAATTTCGATCCATGGATGGCTAGCCCTATACAGTACCGTTTCCTCAGTCTCTTCTCCACCACTGATCAATAGGCAACATTGTATCTTTGTAGCAAGTCCCAAGCTGAGAAGCTGATGCAGGAGCTGATCTGTGTCAGACATTTGTGAACTCAGCCATGAACTGCACAGGCACCAGGATTCACATGATTGTGCCATCTCTAAGCTGGCATCTCAGTCCAGGAAGTAGATGGTGATCCTGGATGATGCTGAAACAAAAGATGGTGCTATCCTTCTGGAGGGAGAAGCAAAGGAAGGCATTGTCAGAGGGAGTACAGTGATCTCTGTGAGACATCTCACAGTCTGAAGGATAGACATTTAGGAGCTATGCTCCAGATAGCCCTGAGAAGAGCTTTCTTTCTTTAAGAATATTTGCAGGTACTCCCCCCTACCGAGTCACCCCTTTTCTCCACCCTACCAGCCTCCAAGAACTGTCTATTGGCTCCTCCCCCTACCCCACCAGTGCCACCCTCTTTTAGAGAACATAGAACCAAATATGGAATTTGTTATCAACAACAAGAAAACAGTAATATAGATTCCCTGTAGCCAGGAACAATAGATCTCCTCAGCAACAACAGACCCCACACTAGCAAAGATAGATCAACCCCAAAAACTGTAAACCCCCACCAGTAACAATAGACCTCAGCAGCAACAATAGATCTACCAGCATCCAGCAATAGACCCCAGCAGCAACAATAGACCCCCAGCAGCAACAATAGACCCCCCAACAAAAACAGACTCCTGCTAGCAAAAGTAGATCCATCCAGCAGCAACAGACCCCAACTAGCAAAAATAGAACCACGCCAGCAACAATAAACCTTCACCAGCAACAACAGACCCCCACCAACAACAATACACCCCCCCAGCAAAAATAGATCCATCCAGCAACAACAGACCCCCAGTAGCAAAAGTAGAACCACCTCAGCAACAATAAATCTTCACCAGCAACAAAAGACCCCATCATCAACAGTAGATCCCTCTCAGCAACAATAGACCCCATCATCAACAGTAGATCCCTCTCAGCAACAACTGACCACCCCCCCCTCAGCACCCCTTTGCTCTTCCCTAGGAGACAGTGGCTAGCACCAGGTAGGGCGGCTCCTTAATGTAGGGTAAGCTCAGTATCTCTTCCCCCACATATACAACTGTTCCTCCATACCTGGTGCCTCTTGAAGGTTGTTTACCTGATATTCTCTTGATGGCCAAATACACATCCCTAAAATTGCTCTCATGATCCCTTACATGCGAATATCCTTATTGCCTTGAAAAAATAAACTTTGTTCCAAAAAAACGTGTTGGTAAAATCAGCAAGATTATGGGGTGCATTTATTTATTTTTCCTGTGAAACCGCGTCAGCATTCCTTCTGTAAGAATAGGGGCAACAATTGATTGTTATTAGGCTATTTTCTCTCCAGGTCGAATGTTTTTCATCCATAGAATATATAGAGTGGTTCTGAAAAATATTGTATACCGGCCACTAGATGGAGCTGATGATCATAGTAAAAAAGTGTTAATTTTTCTATTATCATCATCTCCATCTAGTGGCTGTAATGTGGTACTTTCCTGATTCACTCTATTCTGTATGCATAAATAACACTCGACCTGGAGAGGAAAGAGCCTGGTAACCTACAATTCTGTCACCATTTGTACAGAACGAATGTGCATGTCGTTTCACAGAAAGAAGAGCTGCATGGATTAGACAGGTGCAGTTTGTTTTATTATTATTATACAGGATTTATATAGTACCAGCAGTTTGCTCAGCGCTTTACAATATAACGGGAGACAATACAGCAACAACACAGTTCAATACAAGAGGGTTAGGAAGGCCTGATCCTGGAAGCTTGCAATCTAAGAGTTTGATCTGAAACAAAATTTGGATGAATTTCCAGATGTATCCCAATTCTGAATTACAACAGTAATGAAATGAATCCGAAATAATGAAGTGAAACTCAGACAAAATTTGAATCGATTCGAATTTGAAAACAAATTTGAATAAAAAAAAAACAAGAATAGAGTAAAATAGAATAGAAAATAAAAGAATATAAACAGAAAAGAACAGAGGAAAAAAAGAACAGAGTAGAAAATAAAATAAAATAAAAGGAGAATAGAGGAAAAAAGAACAGAATAGAAAATAAAAAGAATATAATAGAAAAGAATAGAAAATAAAAGAATAGAACAGAAAAGAACAGAAAAAGAATAGAGGAAAAAGAACAGAATAGAAAATAAAAGAATAGAATAGAATAGAAAATAGAGGAAAAAATAACAGAATAGAAAATAAAAATAGAATAGAAAATAAAAGAGGAGAATAGAGGAAAAAAGAATAGAATAGAAAATAAAAAATATAATAGAAAAGAATAGAGGAAAAAAACAGAATAGAACAGAATACAAAAGAAAAGAATAGAGTAAAACAAAAATAGAATAGAATATAAAGGAATAGAATCAATCAGAATAGAATAGAAAATCAAAGCATAGAATAGATGGATATGGATTGTAACATTGTTTCTTTATTTTTTGTATTTCAGGTACTTATATAGCGACGTCAATTTACGCAGCACTTTACATATATATTGTACATTCACATCAGTCCCTAACCCTCAAGGGGCGTACAATCTAAGGTCCCTAATCCTCAAGGGGCGTACAATCTAAGGTCCCTAAGGTCCCTAATCCTCAAGGGGCGTACAATCTAAGGTCCCTAATCCTCAAGGGGCGTACAATCTAAGGTCCCTAATCCTCAAGGGGCGTACAATCTAAGGTCCCTAATCCTCAAGGGGTGTACAATCTAAGGTCCCTAACCCTCAAGGGGTGTACAATCTAAGGTCCCTAACTACATTCATACATACACATACTAGGGACAATTCAGACAGGAGCCAATTCACCTACCATCATGGCTTTGCAGTGTGGGAGGAAACTGGAGTACCCGGAGGAAGCCCAAGCAGGTACAGGGAGAACATACAAACTCCAGGCAGGTGGTGCTGTGGTTGGGATTTGAACCAATGATCCCAGTACTGCCAGGCAGAAGTGCTAACCATTTATCCACTGTGCTGCCCACACATTAGAATTATTATTGAATCCATCGAAATCGAATAAACGAAATGAAATGAATTCCGAAAACGAATTTAACAAATCGAATAAAACGAAATTAGTCAAGTAACGAATCAAAATAAAACAAAACAAATAAATGTTTTTGTTTTGCACACGTCTAGTGTTGATTTATTAGAAGTACAGCCCTTTATGTAATGTATGGCGTGTCATTATAGGATGATAATGTATCTTTTTTCCTAGAATATATATCTGACTCTCTTGCTTCCTGCTGGATGTTCCTCTGATTCCCCAATTTTTAGCGATTTGTTATGTTCCCGGTACATTCATCATTTAGCTACATCTCATTCCATGAGCTCATCAACTCGCAGGCACTCTATGACATCATGGTCATGTGACTGCCATAGATTTCCCATCAATCATTAGGTAAGGAGTTATTGGATGTAGGTTTCCTCTAGCGTTCCCATGCCACCTCCATGAAACAATGTAACGTTTGGTAATGAGCACACTTAGACCCTCGATGTGAGAATTGTGGGCTCCACCTTCCAGGGTTCCTACGCCTCATTCCTTTATGTATGTGAATGAGCTCACAGCGAGGCTCCAACCAGGAGTAATTGGCTCTTGTAAACGGATGTGACAGGGCTAAGCGGCAAATAAACTCCCCGACTTTGTTTGGGAAACCTGCAAAAATCAATTTGCTCTAAAGCCGTAAATAGGTGAGTGATGGATTGCAGTATTTACCTTCAACCCGGAGTCTGCAAGGAGGGTTCAGAGAGACAAAGAAGCAGCAAACACGAAGGGTACACAAAGATCGTATACAGAGGTCCTCGAAGGTCACCTGTTCATGCCTGGAGAGAAAGAGCTGTGCTATCGATTTTAGCATCGATGGAGGTGATTACATCATGTATGGGCAAACCAGTACGTCTTCTGGCAGGATTGCTTCTGCATGAAATGTAAGG